GATTCATTTGAACAATACACTACTGTACTGTAAGAATGGTGTATTAGATCAATGTCTTTTGATTCCCCCAGCAATTTTATTTTATTTTTTAAAATATTTTACTCTAGCACAATGTGTTTAATGATTTACACTGGATTGCCAGACATCTTTTATAGTTGCCCTCAGACATAAACAGTCACACCTTCTTACTCTACTAACATGCTTTGATTATAAGTGTTTATTTGAGCTCCTCTGAAAGACGGTATCTCCGTGCCGTCGTAGGGAAGATGGCAGTATTCTACTTGAGCTCAAACACATTGATTCTGTAACACTGACCTGCTAAACGGCAGTGGAAAGAAAACTTTTCCCCCTGAATTTAGAAGCAGGTCATTTTTTAGGTTTTTCATTAAGCATACAGGAGAGTCCATCACCTTAAGCTTCAGCTGCCAATGTTATTTGTCATCAACCAAGAAAATATAATGTGACAGTTGCGTCTATATACTATACTGTGTACTGTTCTGTTTGCATTGTTGGAGGAATTCCTTTTGGTTTGGATACAGTCCAGATGCAATCAGTGCAGGAGAATGCTGGAGGAGACCACAGGAATCCACTGTATTTTCAGGGAAGCTATTTCAATGGGATTTCGCCAAATTATTGGGATCATATTTTAAAACTAAACGTGCTATTGAAGTAGGGGCTTCCCCACCTGGAGCCATTTATTGGATAGGGGGAAACAAGCTTTTTTCCCCTTCCCTCTTTCACTTCCTGTATAGATTTTCCCTGCCAGTGAAGATATTCACTGTCCTGCTTTTCGAATCTCTGTTAAGTTTGGAGATTGGGAATATTGTCGGCTTTTTCAGAGTTGGACATTAAACGACCATTTTAGAGTTTTTCAGTTCAGACTTTTGCCTCCTGAGAGCTGCAGGGCCTACGTGTCGTAGGCCCTGCAGCCCTTCAGCATTACAGCATTCGATGACTCGCTGTGTTTACCTTCATTGCATCATTAGTTGACATCTGCATGCTGAACAACTGTGGTGAATAGGCTATTGGACTTTTTGGGGTCATAAATGTAGAAGTAAAGGCCTCACAAATGAGAAAAGGGGGTTTTCTCGTTTGTTTTTTTGTGTGCGTGCTGCAGACTACAGTAAACGATACAGAACATGACGTCAGCAGTTTTAGTTTCTCTGCTTAAACATTGTTGAATTGAAGCCAACTAGTGTCGAAACTTCTTCTGTTCCCTTTGCTTCACGGTAAGGTGTCTCTGAAGAACGGGGTTGAGAAGTCGGCAATCTCAAATATGTTGCATCACAATATCATAAAAGTAATGCTGGCAAATGAATGAAAACGACAGGCTGTAAATCTTATTGCATGGCCAAATGTTTTGACCCATGATCTTTTTTTTTTCTTTTTTTCTTGTACTTGACCCTTATCTTGGCCTGTTGCTGGTTTTTAATCGTGTACATGCAGAATCTTGTTGGGAAATGAGACTGATCTTTTATTATTAAGGAACTGATTGCAGCCCTTTTATTCCTGCACTATATTTAGCAGATTATTAACTGTAAACACAAAAAGCCAAATACATTTTAGCCCTCGGGTTTATTTGTGCTTGCAGGCGGAATATTTTTAGACTTGGAAGAGCAGTGTTGCCTTGGTGCACTCAGCAGTGTCAGTCCAGCTGTTGCTTTTAGTTTCTCTGTATTTTTAGGTTTGTTGTTTGGGTTTCCCGTTGTAGCCCAGCTCTAAATGAGACGCTGATCATTTTCTCATCGTGGATACTGGCCTGAAATCTTACAGCTCTGTGTGAAATGGGGCAGTGTGGGCTTTGACAGGTGATGAGAACCAGCTCTTGGTGAGTCAAACGTTATGACGACCTGTGTTCACGTCAATTGGCCTCCAGAAAGGAAGAAAACCAGGCACATGTCTAATATGTTTGGACTGTCTGCTTACAGAAACACTCTTTCTCCGTCATTGCAAAACCCGTATCAAACTTCAAAAACAAATTCTGAGCACTAAACCGTATGCCTTGTCTGTAATTGTCTGCTCACGCAGAACCGGCTGAGATGAGCGGTCCAGAGGTGGCCAAGACACCAGGAGGCGGGGCACCTGGAAAGGAAGGAAAGGAGCCAGTGGCCAATGGGCATGCTGGAGAGGGCACCGACAGCAACCCGTTTGCTGAGTACATGTGGATGGAGAATGAAGAGGAGTATAACAGACAGGTGTGTTTCCCACGCCCGATTCACGTCCATCCAAATGAATCGGATGTGTCAAAGAAGGAAAACGTCAGGACTTCAGGGACCCTTCCCCAAGTAGAGGGGGGGGTAGATGGCATTTCTGTTGGCCAGCTATTATTATTCAGTAATCTCTTATGTTTTCCTTTTTTTTTTCTCTTTTAATCCAGGTGGAGGAGGAGCTGTTGGAGCAGGAGTTCTTGGAGCGCTGTTTCCAGGAAATGCTCGAGGAGGAAGACCAGGATTGGTTCATCCCCTCGCGTGACCTCAACAACCAGGGCGTGGGGCAGCTGCAGCAGCAGCTCAACGGCCTTTCGGTCAGCGATCACCACAGCAACCTGGAGGAAGTGGCGGTGAGTCAGATGAACCAGCATGTGTTTGTTTTCGTTGTTTGTTTTCATTCTAAGCAGTCATTTTGAGTCTAGTGGAATCATATTTTAAAAGTATTCCCGTCTCCCTCTGCAGAGGAAGAGCATCTTGAATCCCGAAGCAAAGGAGTTTGTCCCAGGGAAGAAATACTAGGAGTCCCCCTCACCCCCATGGAGCCTCCACGCGCACACACACAAACACACACGCACACCAGTCCTCACATATTCTCAGAGACTCTTGCGACTTTGTCCGCACACACACTGATTCTCTCACACACACACACACACACACACACACACACACACACACCTACACTCTTGAAGTCAGTGGCGTGCTGACAGGCCCGGTTGGGGGGTGGGGGGTATTTCTTTTTTTCTTTCTTTTTCTTTCTTTCTCTTTAATCTTTTTATTTCCCGTTTGTTTCTTGTAAACTGAGGGACATTGGGAACCGGGGTGGGGAGGGGTGTGGTACCAGCACCGCCCTTACTGCAGGCGCTAGCTCATCTTTGCATTTCAGGTCATACAGCTGACGTTTACAGAGCACGCAGATCCCACTGAAGTCTCCTTGGATCTGAGGCAGCTACTTTGGAGTGATGCCAGGACAAAAAATTAACTAAAAGAAAAAAATGTTTAAAGAATAAATTTATTTTTGAGAAACCATGTCAATTGCTATCCTTTCAAATTGGGGAAAACATCATCAGCAAGTGGAGGGTTTTTGTGACTAACATTTAGGGGACTTGATTGGATGTTTGCTGCTGCTCTGTGACGTCACCAGCCATTTTAAAACCCATTTTTTCTCTCCTCTGATATCACAAAGTTCCTGTGACATCACGGCTGTCTTGCATCTTAAGATGCTGATTCGTTATTTGTAACTGCAACGACTCTGTTCCAAACCAAATACTGAACCCACCCTCCCAGCTTTTCATTTCAAGTGATCAGAACAGATTGTTACCTTGGATAAGAATTTTGTTTTCTTCCAAATTTAAGTGGAAATCCTGCGTATTGGTCCAGCGTTTAGGAGCAGAAGTTGTCGATGGTCTTAATCATGCATCAAGCTAAGTTGATTAAATGTGTTCAGAAAGATCGTCCCTTTGGAAAGTGAGTTTTATCCTTTCCATTGGCTCACAGGTTCATAATTTGGTTCAGTTTGAATTCAGAAAGTGTTCACCTTTTGTTACAGGCGGAAGTATTTGGTCTGGAATGCAGCCACTGCATCTCTGCTGGAACAGCTCAGTTTCTTTCAGCATCAGATCAAGTGTCCGTATTCAGATCAGGGTTTCAAACACCCTTACGTTTTTTTTTTCTCTCTTCTCTTCCTTCAACTTCATGATTTGGAGGATGAGAGGTTTCTTTCCCCTTTGTTGTCTCCTCTGGGTAATGTTGCCTTTAGTGTCCATCAGTTGTTTGTAGGGGAAAATGGTCTCAAGAAGAGTATTAGATAAATGAAGCATGTGGTGGACAGCATTGGCTCCGTTCCTTTTTTTTTTCAGTTTGTTTTATTTTGAGGAAGTTCTGCTTTCAAACTCAAAATCTCTACAGTCTATTTTTTTTTCCTGAAGCATCCCTAGTTTTCAGAACAACCATTAAGCTGTATGCCAGTTGGAAAGCTGTGCGAGAAAACGCTCTTCACAAAAATCCTACTTCTCATCCGCTGTTATCCTGAAGTGTTCTTTTTGTTTTGTTTTTTCCCCTGAACCGCAGCTATTTTGGCTTAAAATTGCAGAAGCAGTATTGTCAAAACCTTCTGATCTTTTGGTCATTTGTGGCATAAACAGCAGCAATATTGAATTGGACTTTTCCTGGTGTGTGCACACTGAGCTTAATATCTGATGAGTAGCACTTCTCTCCACCATGGCTGCTTATCTGGATGTCAGTGTGCTCTCTGAACAGTTTCAGCAGAGACGGTGAAGGCTTGGGTTGAAAGAGGAACTTCCTCACACAGTGTTGGACCACAGCTGTTGAATGGCACCCTGGAGAAGCCAATAGGAATGTCCGCCAGGTGGATTGTACAACATAAAATCATTTTTGGTGATTTTGTTTGAGTTAGGTGACAGAAGCTGTTTTAAAAAGGAAAAAAAAGTTCAGAAGACACAGAGTATGAATTTCAATACAAATAAAAATGATGAAAAAATCTAAATAAAGATGTTAAAGACAAATGTAGTCTTGTCAGTGTTTCCCCAACCGCGCCCTTATTTACGCTACAGGGTTTCAGTGGAGGTGGTTACAAGTGGAGGGTAAATTCAGCTTGGCTGAACAAAGACCCAAACGGGCTTTAAGGCTTTTTGGTTGTCCTTATAGGCTTCACTGCTTTAGAAGATTTGTAAATGTTGAAGTTGTTCCTGCTGTAGTTTTTTATTATTTTTATTTTTTTCTTTCTTTCCCCTTCCCTCCCTTCAAGTTCCCATTAAGTGGATGGAAGCCACAACACCCTTCGTGTAGGTCATATTTGATCGGTATAACCTTTTGTGTTTTCAGAGGAACAATGCACCCAACAGTTACCACATCGGACAGTGGGGAAAAAAAATCCAAAAAACCTTAAACCCATAAAATATCAGATGGACCCATTTCACCCAAGTTGTATTTTCTTTTTTTTCCTTTCCTCTCTGTATCTGGACAGAAAAGGACCTCCCCAGACCCATCTGCAGTTTCTAAAAGAAGTCTTAGCATTCGTGAAAGTAATTCTCAGAGTGTGAGAATGTGGCTGGGCTGGTTGAGTGGGAGTCCCGCGCAGAGGCTCGTATCGGTTAGCTTCTGAGTAGGACCCTGTGACCCCTGAGCTGCATGGTTTCCTGTCCCCCAGAAAACAAAAAGCCTCTGGGACGCTACTGCTTCAGAGCAAGTCGATCATAAACACGTGGAAAATGTGAAGGTCTATTGGATGTAAATACAAAAAAAGGTGGCTTTTTTTTGTCCCATCTATATTTTGAAAAGCTTAAAAATGTGTCAATTTCATTAGTCATATTTACCCTCAAACTTGGACTTATAGAAGTGGATATTTGTAAAACTATTCTGAGTATGTTTTGTGTGTTTCTGCCCACAGGAGTAAAAACGTGCTAAAGCCAGGTCTTTATGGGATTTTGCATTCTCGTCCTACCACTCCCCTTGTCTCACATCCACCTGGTTGAGGGTCGTATTACATATGAGTTACATATGAGGGGAGAGTTAAGGAATAAAATGCCCACTGGACTGAATGAAATGATGAAAGGCTGGTTTAGTGAGTCTGCTGAATGTGAGGGGTGGGAGAACATGATGTCACCACTCTGTAGAAGAGTGTGTGATGCAGGTGCCTGAAAAAGAAGACCATGCTGAGCTAATTCAACATTAATGAGTCATACTGTGAATCACCGAATGATAAAACTCACTGCTAAACGCTAGGAGGGCATTTAGTCCTCATACTTCATTATATCAAAAGTGTGACTTGATTTATTTTGGTGTAATTTTCCCTTGAGAACTTACCAACACATTTCCTTTTTTATTTTTTTAAGAAGCCTTGAAAGTAAAGTAAGACATGGAATTTATTTATTTTCCCCACATACTGATGCAAACTCTTTATCCTTTAAAAAATGTCGTCACTGCCTCTTTCAGTAGTCTTGTTACCGAGATGAGATTGGGGAAAATAAATCCTTGAAGGACACTGAAAAAGTCTTAAAGACGAAGGTGAAGATGAGATTGCACGTCTGTGCTCCGAAGCTGATAAAACCGGCACGGCTCTTCAGGAAGGCCTTGTGCTTGTTCTGTTTTCCATCAGAGGAGAAAAAGGGCCCTTCTTTCACCACTACCCTGACCACGTCTCAGCTTCGTTCGCACTCAGATACATTTGCTGCCGTGTTTTGACGAACGCTCGGCCTCTGCGTCCTTAGGCCAGATAACCGGGAACTTTGTTGGTCTGGAAACTGCAGGTGGTGAAGTGGGAGCGCAGCATTTTTTGACGCTTGTTCTAAACACGTGGCACTTAAAACTTTTTGCTTAGTCACATGCAACACAAAACGCAAAATCTTTTTCTCAGCTGTGTATTGAAATGAAAGTTGGAATTCAGAGGGATGGATGAGGACTCCTGTGACAAGGAGGGAGATGGTGGTAAACTTGCTGAATCTTGGGCTGGCCCCACTGTGGACAGACACATAAGAAAAACGTAAGATGCATGAAAAGACTGAAGGAGAATCCACAGAGGCGTCGCTGCCCCGTCTTTGCCGTCTTTACCTCGCTAGAATAGCTGGCCCGGTACTCGGTCAGAGACTGCCCCTGGGCTTTAGCCGGCGGCTGGCTGCTGCTCTGACACATGTGAGCAGGGATGGGCCGCATGTGAGGGCAGCCACCGGCAGGATGCTCAGCTTCCCACGCGCAGCTGTGAACAGGGAAAGGGGGGGGGGAACCCTGTCAGAATGTGTGATGGTTCAAAGGTGAGGTTTGGGTCTGGGACTTACTAACTACACTGCCGGCCAGGCTGCTGGGAGGTGTCGCTCTGTCCGAGGGCCGGGCTCAGGCCCCACAAGTACACGCTGTTCTCTAGGCTGTCGGCATCTAATCAGAGGTGTCACAAAGTCAGATGTTCTCAATAGACGCAGATTATTTGCCACATGTCAAGAGTACAAATATAAACTAACATCTACCGTCTTCATTCTCATCCGCTTGCCATAATTTCCAACCAGGTTTTTATCAATGCATGAAGATTTTGACATAAGTTTAAATCTGCCGCGTCAGAGACGAAGGCCTCACCTTTGTTGTGAATGGATGTGAAAATGGGAGAAGAAGCCACAGAAGAGTTGAGCGGTTGCTGTGGTCTGACCTCTCCGTGGAGAGATCTCAGGAAATCTTCGCAGCAGGCCAGACCAGAACAAGGCGACAGCAGAATCACACCTAAAAGAGGGAGGGGAAATGTGCTATCAGTACTATGAGTTGCAGATTGTTTTCTCTTGGGTCGCTTGAAATTAAAACGGCCCTCTGACCTTCCTCATAGCGAACGTCAGTCTTCCAGCGTGGGTCAGCTTTTGAGTCGTGCTGGTTCAAGACTGCAACAGCTGCAAGCAGAGGAAGCTTAACTGTGAGGGCGTCCGCCTCAGAGAGACCTCAGTCCCCCTTTTTTATGACAAGTATGGAACAACTAACCTTTATCTTTCTCACAAATCGAAGGCCCGGTCTCCCTGGGAAAATTTGCCCCATGCGTCCCGGGGTCATTCAGGGTAAAGCAGGCCCCCCCGACCGAATGGGGAAAGGATGGATTCAGAGGGCCGAACGGGGGAAAGACGGGAGGCAAGCTGCAGTCAAAGGGATTCTGGGAGAGAGTACAGAGGGTCAGCCATGAGGAGAAGCAGGTTTACATGAATGCGTCTTAGACCGTGCTGGAGTAGTCTGAGTGCACGGGTTGTTTAACCTGTGAGCCGAGGGTCGAGCCGTACGCGTTGTTGGATGTCTTGTACAAGTGCTTGTAAAACACAGGCCAGGATTCACGTTCACCCTGCAAACACAACATGGCCGTCGATTAGGACGACGGCTCCTGTGACCGGCACCATGAGTCTGTGTTTAAATCGAATGATCCATCCAACCTTTGGGGGGCTGCTCAGTGCAGACTGAGCTCCAGTTCTGTTCTTGGGCTGTGGCTGGCGCTCTGATATGGGCTTAAAGTCACTGCTGTAGGTGGTGGTAAATCTCTCGGAAGGACTAACGGCCTCAGCCTGAGAGAAACAAAAACAGGTTTCTCTACATTCTTTGTCAACACCCCATAAAGATGCTTAGATAAAGACAGATGTACAGGAACAAAGTACCGCCCCCCCCCCCCCCCCCCCCAAACGGAGAATGCTAGTAAGGTACAGTATGGTAAATGTATCCTTTGGGTTTGAACCATTTCATAAAGCATTGTTTCACTGGTTTATGACAATTTCAAACAGGAAAGTGAAAATTTTTACATTTCAGCAAATGTCTATTGTTTTATTCATTATACTTTTAAGCAGAGAAGTTAAATTACAGTACTGTTAGTACTATTTGGAAACAGCAATAGTAATTTGGAAAAATTCTATATTTTCTTTTTTTTTTTCAACTGTGAAATGGAAGACGGCATTCGTTCAGCTTTCTGCTGGAGTTGCATTAGCACCTTTGAAGCTAGCAGTGCTAAACCGACGGGGAAACGGGGCATTAATGGACGGCCCTCAAATGACAGTAACAAATGGATGTATGAAGACGACAGAGGCCGGAGAGGCTGTTGCTCATGGCCGACAGAACTGCATGTATTTGTGGCTCTTTGCCAGCCACGTCGGAATCGAACGCTGCCATAACCCCCGGAAGGGTTGTGCTCTGCCACCAAGTGGTCAAACGTGGTAAACGCAGGTTAAAACCCCAATAAATAAAACAGGAGCTGTTAGGAGGCGTTCACGGAGTTTGTTAGCCATAAAAAAAAACATTTAATACATCTAATTTGATTGCTTTTTGCTATAATTGTCCCACATTCCCTCGCTGACTGTTGTTAACCTTCTAATTTCAATTCAAAACATATTAAAACCTAGCACAGTTAAACCCAAAACCATGAAAGGACATATAGTCAATTTACCTCACCAGGTGCCGACTGAAACATGGCTTTTGATTTCTCCTTGGCAGAGTAATCTCAGTGCACGATCACAGCATTACCCCTGGACTGAAGAGTCTCCCAGCGTCCCCCTGTGAGTGCTGGTGGAATGTTTATCACACTGTTTACAGTCAAATTCACCTGGTACGGATGATGCTCCTCTGCTTCCCTTCTAAACAAACCTGTGGAACATTTACAGTCGGAAGTCCCAACAGAAACATGGCTTACATAAATGCACTATTAGCATAAAAGCAACCTGCTTTTTCTCCTCACTTCAACCTATTATGTTTACAGTTGAAACATCTTGATAGAATAAACAACCTGGCTTTATATTGTTTGCTGTATAAATCAATTACAAGACAATGATTTTGTGGCGGCTTGAATTTGTCGTGAAGATGCCTTTTATTCCAATATTTTCACTTATTTTAAAATGCAACACTGAGGCAATGAACCAGTTAGAATAATAATTATCAAACATCCTCCCCATTTCTATTTCATCCCAGATTTCTCCGGAGTAACTCTGTTCTCAGTCATATTTGAACCAAAAAGGCAGTGTGAATTAAAACTCAGGGGTCCAGAAAGCCAAACTCCTTTTACCATTATATCTCAATAACCTCAGTAAAATGGTCTTTTTACCAGCAAAGTTTTCTCCTTTTTGATCTGCTATACTGATGTGACAATGATAGCTCATCACATAATCATCAGTGAGCTTTGAAACAAATGCTTAACTGAATCTTTGAGGGATCGAAATATTAACACCGCTGCACACATTTTCTGCAAAATCATCATTTTTATTTTTCCATTAATGATTACCGTTCAGAAGTACAAAAATGTTCTGGAAGTTAATTCAATTTTTAAGCAATTCTTTTGTCACAAAAGATGCAAAGCAGTATTTAAATAAGAGGAAAGCTGAATTATTTACCCCCTGTCCTGATACATGGAGTCAGATCAAATCACGTTCATCAAAACTGTTCCACAGTCATTATTGTAGTCATAATTACAGTATTATAGTTGGGAATTGATTGTTTTATTGGCTACTGCTGAAGGTGTGTTGATAGAAGACTTGAGCGTTGGCTCCGTAATCCATAACTATGGCGTCACCTATACTTTGGGCCCCAAGGCTGGCACCTCCGAAGGCTGAGGACTGCTTCAACATGAGGAGACTGTATCCACGGCAACGGTCACTAAACTTGCCCGAAGATGAGGCTTCTTGGAGGACCTCAGTGAACCCTGGAGAAAAGTGGAGAAGTCTTTGACTGGACGTTTCTCCTGCTGCATCTTTTTGTGATTGCGCAGCTTCAGGGATACTGACCCGGCTTCAAGAGAGACCAGCTCTTCCACACAGAGCCCACACAAAGGATGGGCAGCCCAAGGTCCCCACTAAATAAAGACTGACAGAAAAGAAAAAAGGAATCTGTCTGGGTGTGTTTGTAAATGTGCAAAAGCAGCAGATGTCATGCGTTGTACCTCCTGTGCTGCAGGTAATACGGCTTTGACGTGTTTCGCCAGGGCTCTGCCAGCCTGGATGAACACATACTGACAGAGGGCATCCCCGGCTTCTGCACCTTTAACATTTGAACACATATAGCTTTCCTAGATACCTTACTGTTAGTATCTCTCAAAATTAGGAACTGGTTTGTTACCTACCCTCAGACAGTTTTTTGCAGAAACCCGCAAAGTGAGACTTCTGGAATTTTGTGTAGAGGTGTGGCAGCATGCCCACGAGATCTGTCACCTGGGATGGTGAGAGATTTTGTTTTACCCTGCCTGACACATCTTTGCTTTCACCTATGCTGATATGATTCTGTAAAAGAGACGCATGATGATGTGAGTCCGACCTGGAAGTACTCCTCCATGGCTTTTCGAACATGTGTGATGTTGTGAGGAGGCGAAACTAGGTTGTCTCTGGCGTCAAATATTGTCTTCACCGCCAATTGAGCAGTCCAGAATGCTGAGAGGTAGAGAAAATAATGATTCCTATATTAAAATATAGTTGAACCCGCAACAACATAAAGCTGTTAATCATTTACATGATGACCCTACCTCCCCCTTCATCACCCATCATGTGACCCCAGCCTCCACAGCCAATCTGAGAGCCGTCAGGATGGACTAACTTGCAGTTTGAGCCAGTTCCTGATATCAGGACCACACCTCCTGAGATACAAGAGAAACAGATCATAAAATGACTTAACTGATCTCATAAACTCATAAAGTTTAGACAGACATGTGACCAGTGATGTTCCTCTCATACAGGCACACCTTAGAGGCAAAGGTACAAAGAATCAACCTCTAACTGTACCAGTAACTGTGAGCAGCTTAAGCGTAAGAGTAGAGTAATAAAGAGCAAAATCAGATAAGCTCATTTGCAACCTAAAAAAAACATCAAGAAAACAGTTTGATCAGTATTCAACTACACATAAAACATCAATTTTAAAACACTTGGAAAAAATACACACAAGACTATAGGAAATGTAAACCATTTCATATGTGCCACAAAGCTTTGTGTTACGGACTGATTGTGGCACAAAGACATGACAGGTTACCTTGATTACTGGCTGTTGCCATGGCGCCAACGGCATCTGTAGTGATGAAGTAGTGTTCACTAAGACTGGGGAAAAGTTCTCTCATAAGGTCAGTCAGTTTAACGTTGGCCTCCTTCTGATCACCTCCACTCAGAGACATACCCTTAACATAAAAATACACAATATATTTGACTTGAAAATACCTGAAACAGTACAACAAATAATGCACATCTTACACACAGTTGAACTGACCAGACAACGTAGTGGAATGTTTTGGTCAAGTCCTGCCTGACTCTTGGCCCTCTGGATCATGTCGTTGATGGTTTCAATACATTTGTCAGCTCCGATCAGCTGCGTAACACAAAAAGACAAAACAAGAGATTTTCAATGTTGGCTACCAAAAATGTTACACTCTCATCCGTCTTTCATATTCTTCTACTGCTCACCCAGTGGTTGGTGCATGGCCCCAATGTCTCTGCCAGCACAGTCCCATCTCTTAACAAAAGCACTGCTTTGGAGTGGGTCCCTCCACTTAGGCACAAGAGAGAAAGTGGGCACAAAGTCAGTAACAAACAGGGGCGACAAGAGCTCCCAGAAACATGATATTTCGTCTGTGATGTATCTCTGATGTCTGCAGTATATAAATATACATAAAGGAAATAAGGTTGTTGCACAAAAAGCCTGCAAGATATAAAAATCCACATACATATTCATAATGATCTATCCATGAGAAACAACGGCTCAGAGTTTGACAGTCTTATTGGGCGGGGCGGAACAAGAGATGATCACGGGATACAGGCTCGACGCTTCCACTTCGGAAAGTCTTATTATGTATTTTACAGTTTTTAAATGACAACGGTAAAATATTTAAAAGCACAGAATCATGCACAAGCCCGAACCTTGTACAATAGGACATCAACTTGGAGAACTTTTGTTGTCTATTTAGTATCGTTCTTACCCTTCTATTCCTCCGTACACTGATGCCATGTCTCAGTTCCTGTTTTGGTCTGGTTAACAACTGTCATCTCGCGAGAGTTGCAACTGTGCTCCAATCTGCAATTCGGATTAATTACCAATAGATGGCAGCCGCACGTTTTCAATGGTTTACACAAAATATGATGTTCAGATATGTAGCATTTCTTAAAAATAAATATATAGAAATATTAATTAACTTAATGTACTAATTCTTTGTGAAACGAGTTTAAGAAGTAAAAAAAGGCACTTTAACGAGACAAAACTAAAATGACTTTTCAATTGTGGGTTTAAACTGGTACGCCAACAGGAGGCATCTGCATCACATTGTTTGGAAAATGTGCTCAGTTATACAGATTCTTCAAAAAAATTAATGTAATAAAGCGATCATTTATTATGCCTTGCTAATGACTACATTAGCAAATCCTGTCATCCAAGTCATGGATTTATGGTTGTTATGCGAACACAAATAAATAAAAATAAAAC